CCAAAATAGCATTCTTTGCTTTTTTTGGAAATACACCCAATCTAACAAATGATGCCACTGAAGATTGGGTCAAAAAAAAAATTCCACATGACCTGGCATGCTTTAAAAGATGCGACGTGCCTGTTTTTGCTGAATCAAATTTAACAATGCGTCACACCCAGTACACTTAACGGCGCTTACTTTTTTCTCATCTTTGTCCAAAATTTGCACGAAGGAGGCCCAGACAGAAGAGGTGCCGGTAGGTTTAACCTCTTTATATTCAATTTATTTTAGCTTTTTTCTCACATCATTCATGAAGGTATCCATTATCACCGTGCGTGTACATTAACTTTGCCCACCCTGTTTCTGATGACGTCGCTCTTGTTCCCCCCCCCCCCACCTTATTTCAAATTACCGACTTTTCTCATCCTAATTTTACAAGTTGAAAGTTACAAGACAACACATGCACAGCGCTGACTGACTCTGATAACGGCCGGGTATTCTCCGAGTCCGATCGACTCGGGTATTACACACAATGTTAAACAGACCCGGGACCCGAAGTATTATGGCGCTTTTCCACTGCATGGTATGGCTCGGCACGGTTCGCTTTTGGGGGGGTTTTCCACTGGGTACAGTACCTGGTACCTGGTACTTTTTTTAGTACCACCTCGGTTGGGATTCCAAGTGAACCGTACCGTTACCAAAACGTGACGTGTAAACTCTGCTGATCACGGATTGGCCAAAGAGAATAGTCACTGCATCACTGAACTTGCGACACAAAAGAACCACTAGATTTAAATCAGCACAGCCAGCGAAGGATCGAACGCAACTGTTTTGAACGAGCACACCTTTTTTTTAACAACCAAAAAGTTTTGTTGTCTGTTGCGGAAGTACAGACGTTCCTCTAGGAGCGGATCCAGCGAGAGCTTAATGGGGCGACGCGGAATGAAAAAGTTTTTTTTAGGAGTCGTGGTTGTAGAGACGGCGCAACTATAACATGTGAATAATCCCGCCCACTCTAAAGCGGTACTGAACTGCAGTGGAAACGCAAACCATGCCGAGCCGAACCGTGCTGTACCGTGCCGTGCCGTGCCGAGCCGAGTCATATCACGCAGTGGAAAAGCGCCAATAGATTGGGACCCGACCCGGACCCGGCTGACTATTTAAAATATAGCCCCGCAGAGAGTTAAGTAAGCCATTTTTGGTTTTGCTTTCAAAACATGGCTTAACCAATGGCGTGAGGGACTATTTGTTTAGCTCAACTAGAAAAATTAGAAAAGGGTTGTTAGTATTGAAAACTAATTTTCTCCAGTAGTTACTACATGGTTCTAAAGAAAGAAACCATTACAAGCTCATGTTGAATGGGGTGATGATGATGATAATGAATGAGTCCTGGTTCATGGTTTATATAATCAGACATCCCTGTGCGACTCTAGAAAGTAGGAAACCTATATTCTTCTTTTGTGACATAACAGCGAGTCCCATGAGCCCTCACTCTCTGATCCACACACTATTGATAGACTTAAAGAATGATACTTTTCATAATGTGTGTCTTGACCTGAGCAGAAATTGGGTTTGGCGTGTTACTCAATAAAAGGTGATTTCATAACATTTTTTACATATCTGCAGGATATCTTATTTGCATATGAATGCATCACCTAAATAATAGTTTGTGTTTTACCAGATGTATGTTAGGTGTATGATGGTTTATGCGAAATGTGTTAGACTGGGTCAGTGATGGTGCGATGTTCTGGTTTGGTGATAAAGACGCACTTACGCAAGACGAAGGTGCTGGGGAATAAAGAAAGAATAGACTGAACTCCATGAGGATTCATTTAAACAGAGAACAGATCCTCATCAAATGACTCTTATATGAACAGAGCATCTGAAATCTGGCAGAAAGGGGTTGAGCTGTTCAGGTCAAAAGTTCAGCGCTGGGTATTGAGCTGGTACACTGTGTAAAAGTGTTTTTTTTTTGTGCTATGGACATAAAGGATGCCATTAATCGTGCAGCTTTTTGAAGCAAGATATACTATTTATACTGGCACTGTCACATAATAAAATGTTCTAGAGCTTACAAAAATTGTGCCATTTGTACAATGTTTTTTTATATGAAAATATCAGATTTATATGAAAAAGTAAGAAGCTTCACCACTGAACCTACCCCTCAGCAGGGTGAGAGCAGATTGTTTGAAATCCTAAAAATGAGTTTGTATGAATTAGCAACAAAATAGTTATGAATTGTAATTGAATTGTGTTGGGAAAATCCTGTAGACTTGAATTGTATAGTAAAATGTAGAGCAGTGGTTCTCAATCAGGGCCCACTAGGGGGCCTCAGCATAATTCTACAAACAGAAAATCTTGAGATGATTTAAAATAACACAAATCAAGCATTAAAATAAGCTCAAACAGCAACTTTTTTTTTTTTTAATTTGCCTTTTTTATTATTTTTTCTTTGAAGAACCAGGGTTTACACAATCTTGGAAAAACTAGATATATGAGGTAGCCCAATTTTAAAAGTTTAATTTGTAGACCTGGAAAAGTCCTGTAAATTAATTATATTTAAAAAAAAAAAAAAAAAGGTAAACATCTGTTACCATTTATGTAATGAACATTATCTTTTTTTAGTTAAGCCAAGGTCTGTAAAACTATTTTAAAAATAAGTTTCCTTAACCCTTAAAGGGTTAGTTCACGCCAAAATGAAAATTCTGTCATTAATTATTCACCCTCATGTCGTTCCAAACCCGTAAGACTTGCATTCATCTTAAGAATAGTGTTGGGTCGTTCTTGAACGATTAGTTCATTTTGAACGAATCTAATGTGACTCGGGAAGAACGAGTAGTCTCGGGGAGTGATCGCATGTGCAACATCCTATAGGTTCTGTGCTGGAATTAGTCAAGTAGTTCACCTGTTTCGAGTCTTCGGGTTTTTCGAGTCCTTCGTTCATCATGTGACAGCCCCATAAGCTTAACCTATGCAGTCTGAGCCGGAAAGAGACTTAATAATAATAACCAACTCTTTATTACCTTTGTTACGACATTCAGTGTTATGGAAAAGAACCATCATGACAGAAATTCACACATTTATAAACTGTAAGAAGTAAAAAGCTACAATTTGAGACCAGAAAGGCATCACGTAACTGTAAGAGTAAATAATAATTATAATAATAATAACTATGCACCCGTTTGTAAGGAAGCTTGTAAATGAACTAATTTCTCTATCCAATGCTGTCATGTCATGTGACAAAAGAACGAACGATTCGAAAGACTCGAGAGATGAACTAATCAATTCTCTTTCCAGCTCAGACTGCATTGGTTAAGTTTATGGGGCTGTCACGTGATGAACGAACGACTCAAACCCGAAGACTTGTCAGATAAGAGGTGAGGTGAGCTAATCATAGACTGAAGACCCAGGTAAACAATCGATTAATCTTATAGCAGTTTTGTATTTTTTGTAGTGTGATCAACGTTTGCGTAAGTAGTAGACGTGTTAGGGATGTAACACGTAACATTTTAATTATATTTAGCTAAAATTAACGAAATGACTCGAAAAAAGGTCAGAGTCAGTAAAATGATCTGAACTTCCCATCACTACTTAAGAACACAAATTAAGATATTTTTGATGAAATCGGAGAGCTATCTGACCCTCCATAGACAGCAACGCAACTGTAATGCTCCCAGGTCCAGAAACGTATTATACATCGGTAAAACAGTCCATGTAACATCAGTGACTCAACTTCAGTTTTGCGATTCTACAAGAATACTTTTTCTTTGCACAAAGAAAACAAAAATAAAAATTTACTCAACCATTCTTCTCCCGGAGTTACGGCTTCCGCCATTTTAGAGAGTATTACAATGCATACGCACGCTTTCCCCTGAGCGTGAACAACGCTGATTACGTCCAATACGTTCTTGGGTACTCTCCAAAATGGCGGAAGACGCAACTCGGGGGGAGAAGAATGGTTGAGTAATTTGTTAATTTTGTTTTCTTTGCGCAAAAAAAAGTATTCTCATAGTTTCGCAAAACTGAAGTTGAGCCACTGATGTCACATGAACTATTTTACTGATGTCCTTACTACGTTTCTGGACCTGGGAACATTACAGTTGCGTAGCTGTCTATGGAAGGTCAGATAGCTCTCCGATTTCATCAAAAATATCTCAATTTGTGTTCCGAAGATGAACGAAGGTCTTACGGGTTTGGAACGACATGAGGGTGAGTAATTAATGACATCATTTTCATTTTGGGGTGAACTATCCCTTTAAGGCTGGAAAATAATACTACCGATTTTAAAACACTAGGCATCATAAACTTGCTGACTTTGTAAATGGTTACAGAAAACAAACTGGACGTTACACTAAACGACTGAGGATCACACACTACCAGACTTTCAAGTCATTCTGAACACCGCAAACTCGCATGTGCACATCGTTGCCGGAAGATTAAAACAATGTGTTCTAAAATCATCTCAAAATAGCAAACATGTTTGATATCCTCCAACTGAACGGATTCATCGTCTGAAGATAAAAGAATCTGTGCCCATTATACGCTACACGATTTCTGTTTTTTCTGCATATCACGATTTCTCAACTCGTCGTAGTGTGTGTACAGGGAAATAATAGAAGTGGAAGGAGATATTTACAGTTGTGGGGGTTTATGCAGTTTTATGACACACTATTTTAGATTTGGTGGGTTGCCCACTTTTGAATGTTCTTAATTAAAGAGATCAGTTCACCCACATGTTTTTCCAAACGTGTATGCATTTCTTTCTTCTGTTGGAAACAAAAGAAAATGTTTTTTGTTTTGTGTTTAGTTTTGCTTTCATTGTATGGACAAACAATTCTTTAAACAACACCTTTTATGTTCCACAGATGAAATAAAGTCATAAAAGTTTGGAACAACACAAGGATGCGTAAATAGGGGTTATGCGCAACAGACTACCGTATTCTGTTAACCGGGTCTCGTCGCTTCCGGTTCAAGCGTTTTGCATACGCTTAGTTAAATGTAAAGCAGTTTTACTCAAGATGCCTTCAAAGTAGATACCAATGATGATCATAACCAATGTCCATCACATATGCGGACTGATATCTAAAAGTTTTTTTTATTTTTATTCTTTTCACATTTAGATATAAAAATTTAATAAAACATCAACAATAAAAACAGCTAGCTAGTTTAACTGATTATCTTAAAAGTCCATAGATATCGCTATTATTTAATACGGCTGTTAACGCGTTCTCCGACAAGCGGAAGCCATGAGACCTGTTTTCCGGTTTTGGTCAGGTGATGTTCGACATATGCCCTATTGTGGGTAAACTATCCCTTTGATTAACACTCCGGTCTCGACTTTATACAACCGTCACCAGATGCAAATCTGTTAGCTGTGTTAGAGAGGTGTTGATTAGTTGCTGTTTGTTTTTGCATTGCACTGACTGTGCTTGTGCGTGTGGTGAGAGAGTAGAGGGGTTTCGTTTACAGTAAGCAGCACATCAGGACACTAGTCTGGACAGTGTTTATCGGAAATGACTCCTTTGTGAAATTAATTTATGGTGCATGACTCTATTTTAACGACTTTACAATAACGGCTGAGTAGTTCCATAAAAACACACCTGAAGGATACTGCTTACATTCATATACTCCAAACTATCATATAAGTTGTTTTCTAAGAACTAGGTAACGCGTTGTACACGTTCTCTAAAATATAATCTCAAAAGTTCACTAAGAAACCGATTTCTTCATTAATAATAGGTCCATTCATTACTCACTAGCTCAGAACGTTAAAAAGTGTGTGATTGCGTGTGCACTTCACTGCGTGTGTGTTTCATGTTCTCTCTGGTCTATTCCTGGTTTTGACATCTTATCCCTGTGCAGAGTGAATCAGCTCCAGGGACAGGATCACTTGCCTTTCTCTTGCTCTCTGCTTATTTATTTTTACTAATAGCGAGTCAGTCAACACTTTACGGTAACAGTGTGTATCACAACAACCCTGTGTACGGTTTAGTGTTTACTTTAGAGACTCATTTCCTATTGTAGGTGTTTGTTTGTTCTTCTTCATATGCATGAAGCAAGTCATATTTCCACATCTTGCACACGAAGCATGTTTTGCAAGCAAGTTAAATAACAGATCTAGCAGTTCATTTCACTGAAAAGCTATTGACGTTACGTCTGCCAGTCAGTAACCCAAATTCCAGTATAATCTCCTGCATGGAGTGGACTGAGAGCGTGTGGCCATTAACAATAATTAGACTGTTTCCTAAATAACTCAAGATTTCTGTCCTGAGTTTTCTATTTTCCAAATGAAACGTTAAATGAAGGCGCATGCTTGTTCAATCCAATCGCATGAGAAAGCATAACTGTTTGCAAGTGTACACACATTTGTATTATGTGATTCACGTGGAAATGTATGATTTGTATTAAAACAAGTGAAAATACATCCCTAAACCTAGCCCTCATGGGGCGAGAGCAGATTAGGTCTATACAAAAATGTAAGAACGTCATATGGATTTGCGACATTGTGATAAGTTTGCTATGCAGTTGCAAAGGTGTTTAGATTGGTTGTTAGAGCATTGTTATGTGGTTGCTAAGATGTTCAGGGCCGTTTTTAGAGCTTTGCTACGTGATTTATAGTGTGATCTGGGTGGTTTTAGGTGCTTGCTAACTGTCCCAAGTTAAAAGAGCCCACCTCCAAGTCGCCAGATACGATTTTGGGCAATTCAATTGTAGCCTGTTGAATTGGTTATTTAAATAGTATTTTATTTTTTAAGAAAAAAAAATATTAGCACACCTAATCCACGGAAAAGTATAGGCTAATTAATCTCAGTGCAAAGTTAAGACTTACATGTTGTAGTTTATTAGCCTACTTTTAACTTCTAGCCGTATAACATTTAATCATTTAGGCTAACAGACCATTTTATCCAACGCGACTTACAAATGAGGACAGGGTCATTCTACAGAAACGTCCACTTTTGGTATGGCAAGATGTCTTAAAATGTATTACTTTTTTTAACATTTAAACTTAGATCACATTATTATATTACCTTTTGACTTTATGAATACACATAAATGACAGCTTAATGATTTTTAATCTTTTTTGTGCATTTATTTAAAGACCACATGTACCATTTTTTTTGTCACTGGTGTTACCTTACGTTACCTTACGGTTTTTATGAAATATTATTCCTCAATTCTTTTAGTACATGTAGTCAGAGTTACAGAACAATAATGATAATGCAAAAAATAAGGAGATTGTTTTATTTATGTTAAGCAGGTTTGTTAAAATGTGACTGAATGATGTACACAACCATGTATTTGCTATAACAATGAAAATATTTGTAAAAACTGGTTATAAACAAGTAATGATGCAATCCTTTATATCTTAACTCTTGAGTGAAGCAGAATTCAATAGATGTAAAATTATTATCATGTCACATGTGACACATTTTATTTAATGTGACAGAAAAAAAAAGTAACACCATGTGACATATACATAAGACCAAAGATCCTTACTCTTCAACTATAATTATGTAGTTAAGACTAAATTGTTACATTTGGCAATTAGTGAAAGCAGTTAGTAAAAGAGCATCACCGTAAACTGATCTTTACTGGTGTTACCCATAAGGAAGGTAACACCAGTGACAATTTTCATGAAAAATGCATTTTACAAAATGTCTGCTGCAAGGTATCAAACCACATGTTGTCAATCATGGGATACTCACTAAATTGAGTAGTTTAATCTATTTATATTCTAGTTTTTTTACAATTCCCTACACTGTAAAAAAATATCAGTAAAATTTACGGTAAAAAAACGACAGCAGTGGTTGCCGGAATTTTACTGTAAAAAAATACGGTAGCAATGTTTTAGGTTTTACGGTTTTAACTTAAATTTACAGTTAAATACCATAATTTCATTAACTGATATAATGTTAATATACCAACCTATTGAAGTACTGAAATCAGTTTTGTACCTTTGTAATACACTGATAACCACCAAATGCAGGAGGTGATGAGAAAGTCACATGATGAACCAAAGCCCATCACAAGCAGCTTTTAAATACTAACATACAGTATATAGAAGGTGCACAGTGTCATTCACACAAACACCAAACACCATCATGGTAACACACATGAAACTGAAATAATGCAATAAACATTCATTTAACAACATTAGGTGTAACACACAATCCTAATATACAAAACTGATAAGAAAAAACTAGGATGAAACATAGTTATTTCAACAAAAAAACATCAAATTTGAAATGTAATGCAGGGAATTCTGGGAATGTCAATTTACTGTTATTCACTGTAAATTATACGGCCTTTTTCCACTTACAAAAATGGTATGCTACCGTTAAATTAATGTCCGATACATGTAATGTCCAATACAGTTTTTCACCGTATATAGTAGGGGAATTTACCGTTAACCATTTAACAGGTTTTTACTGTAGCATTTTTACAGTCTTTTACCGTTAAATTTTACAGTGTAACAATAAAGTAGGTCATACCAGTGACTTCCACTAAAAGCTTCATATGAAATCATGAGATAAATAAAAAAAATTCTGATAACTGAAAAGAGACAGTGGACTTAACATGGGCCCTTTTCTCACAGATCTTCAGGAAATAGGAGGAATGAAGTCAAGTGATGTCATCAGTGTGATTTTTATTTCAAAATAAAAGATTTTTGTTAAACGGTAACACCAGTGACACAACTCCAGGGGACCACTACTTTCATTATATATTTTCTAATATTTATTTGCCATTTTGTTTTTTGATTTCATTTACATCATATATTTGATAGTTATGAATACATCATTGTATTTTAAATGGTATAAAAACCTCAAAATAAAGCACTTTTCCTCTGTGCATGGCTGTGGGGACGAGCAGTTCATTGAATGAACAGGTTCATTGTGCAGTAATAAAGACATGAAAGAGTGGGAAGTGATACCTGCTGGAATCACGAGAAAGTGTCATGAAGCTTGGGGGAAACAAAGCTGTTCTCATCTGACTTGCAATTTACTTGCTTTCTTTGGGTGTCGCGTGTCTGTGTGGAAAGGGGAATAAACAGAATCATTTGTTTTCAGATATACAAAACCTTCAAATGTCTTCTAAAATATTATAATGAATGTAACGGTCAAATATTATAATGAATAAACCGACTAAAATATCGGTCGGTAAGTGTTATAATCTAAAGCGCTGCCACGTGAGAACTAGACCCAAAAAAAAATCATTTTCCATTTAACGACGAGTGTAATATTTTCTGGACAGAGGTGATGTGAGATTGGACACGCCCTCGGGTTTCATCCTGTACGTGCAGCTCTCAGCATTCACTGAAGATCTCAAAACCAACAAAGCCTTAAGAAATAAAAGCATCGCAGTCATTTGTTTCTCGTGGAGCCTACGTTACTCTTATACTACTAAGTATAGCAATTGATATTAAAAATATGAAACCAAATGAAAAGGGGAAAAAATAACACTAGGCTGGGTATTAACATTAAATTCAGAAAATTAAGTCACTATATAATGTTCTAAAAATGTTTTTGGAATATTTCGGAAAATCTTATTTTTATTTAGGCTCAGTAGCCTAATTAATTGGTTTGTTTTGAACTTTTTTGTTAAGCAAAACCTAATAACAATGCAATCGGTGATTTCACTCAAATCACGGTAAACGTTATACAAATAAACTCTCGAAAGTACATGCACATTAAGTTTCATTTAATTACTGATTCATCAGTTAAAAACAACAACAAAGTACAACCTGATAGAAAAATAAAACCGATATTATTTCACATGTAGCTTAAGTGTCGACCGTTACATTCATTATTAATCTACTACTTTTATGGCAGGAAGTAATCATTTGAAAAACAACAAGCCAGTGAATTTATAGCTCTGCTATTATTGCAGGGGTTTGGGAAGATTGATGGATTGATGTAGTGACTCCTCGCACGTAGGCAAGTGGGGATGCCCACTCCACGCGTGACCTGCATCTTTAATGCTCTTGAGTGCACAGCTTCACATGCCTTTTTATCAGTTTTGTGCATAGCATTAGCATCTAGAAATATAACACAATATCAAAATAATAATAATAAATAGTCTATTATGCAACGCATGAATATAAAGTGTGAACACCATGGTTGTGTGTTCATTTCTTTCATAATAAGCAACCTCTAGTATTTGGCCGCAATGTGGCGCATGTGAACGCTCTCACCGGCAGACACGCCTTCTGCAGTCGCGTCGCAGCATCGTGTTGCCGGTTCCGTATTTAAAGCGCAGCTGATGGGAGACGTGCCGTTAGAGATTACCGAGAAGCAGAGCGAGGAGGTCTTCAGCATTGTAACTGATACAACTCGGCGCAAACCTTCAAACAGCGTTTAAAGAAGAGCGTCGCTAATCCTTCATTTTGCGTTTGTGTTCGCAAAAAGTCTTTGCGAAGCCGGCGTGTAACGTGCCGCTGCATTCTTGCTGATATTTCCCAATCCTAAAGGAATGCCAAGGGAACTAACACAGAACAGGATCCAAAAAATCTGGATTCCCTCTAAGGATGACAAACCTTCAATGCCCCGCACATGTAAGTAATTACATACAGACTATATATATATATATATAAATTAAATGTACATTATATTTTCTATTAAAGATGGGCGAGCGCATACATTTATTATTATTATCAGTGTTGGGGAAAGTTACTTTTAAAAGTAATGCATTGCAATATTGCATTACTCCATAAAAAAGTAACAAATTACGTTACTTAGTTACTTTTTTTTTGGAAAGTAATGCGTTACGTTACTTCTGCTCTTCTTTTTAAATCTGGACAGGGCTTGCTTGTTTGTTTTTAAAATAAAAAAGTTCTATTTTTGGCAAATATAAAAGCCCTTTCACACCAAAGGTGAAATGAATAAGCCTCAGGCTGAAGGGAAAGTACATTTAAGCCCGTACAGTAGAATGCAGAAGAAGACATTTCAACACACTTTAAGTAAAAAAAAGACATAAATGTTCGTCTAGAGTAATTTGTGCTTATTAGTGGTTAAACTGGATCATCGAAGGTCAGAAGCAAAGACATTGGTTAATAGAATGAGATTAAATACATAAAGGATATTTGTGTTGTTTACCATTTAATTATTGCAGGTTTGCGTCATATTCTGAGTTGCATTATTTTTATTCATTTTGAGGAATACTGAATCTGAGTGTTTTTTTGTGTGTGAGTGAGATGAATTAATGCATATTCATATTTATTTTAGAACTACAGTAACATCTGATTTCTCTCGACATGGGGACAGGAGAGCTGTCAATCAATACATTGGAAAAAAAAAAGTAACTTGCGTTACTTTTTTGAAAAAGTAACTCGGATATTCTCTTGTTAATTCAAAAGTAATGCGTTACTTTACTAGTTACTTGAAAAAAGTAATCTGATTACGTAACTCGCGTTACTTGTAATATATTACCCCCAACACTGATTATTATTCAACAGTAAAGCGCACTTTACATAATATGACATTAAATATTTCGCTAATAAATTTAAACTGACTTATGAACATTGTAATTTAATGCATGCGCTGATCAAACTGTGACATAGCTTAAGGTGAATTAATTGTCCTTTTAACATTCTGAAGATTGTAAGAAGAGCTCTGTCTCAAGTGATTCTGTTGTCATGGGAACCCACCTCTTTTGTAAAGACTTTCGAACTCAATGGCACGCTGGTGACTCCAGGGATTCGCAGAGAGGAATGTGGGAATATAGCGCTGTGATTGGTGGAATATATTTACCTGCACTTGGCGTGAGTGTGATGCCAGTAGCGTATGCATAGGAATTACTCATCACAACACAAGTGAAGCATTTTAATATCTGCAGTGATATCACCCTGACCGTCATGTTGTTTAGTTTGATTATAATCAAGGCATAATTTAATGCAATAAATAATTAATTGCATATATACAGGAGTGCTCAAATTTGGGAAGATAGAAAGATCGCAAGAGAGAACATTTGGGGGAAAAAAACAAATGTAAACTATATATTTTAATCTAAATATAAATAATATAATTGTAATGATTTATGCAATGATACATTGTTTTTTTTGTATCACATTTCATTTTTGCAGGTTTTAAAGGAGTCATATGATGCGATTTCAAGTTTTCCTTTCTCTTTGGAGTGTTACAAGCTGATTGTGCATAGATAAGATCCCTGAAGTTGCAAAGACTAAAGTCTCAAAACCAAAGAGATATTCTTTATCAAAGTTAAGACTCTGCCACGCCCCCCTAAAACGACTCGTTCTAACACGCCCCCACATATCTACCTCACTATGTGGAAATATTAGCATAATGCCCAGCATTCACAATTCACTGGGTCAGCTGGCCAATCAGAGCAGACTGCGCTTGTTGGAAGGAGGGACTTTGTAGAAAACAAAGCGTTTGAGAGAGGCGGGGCATAGAGGACCTACAATAATGTACAGTATTTGAAAAATAATGTGTTTTTTGAACATTAAAGCATGTCAACATATTCTGTTACACCAAATACACAAAATAATGATCTTTAAAAAAGCATCATTATGACCCTTTTAATACAGTACAATAATTGTATCCAGGACGGTATGCTTGTTTTTATTTATTTTTAATTTTTCTGCAGTATTACAATATAATGTTGAATATAATGAAATCGCTATTAAGAATGAATGAAGGAAGGAATCATAATTTCCTTTATACATAAAAATATAATATATAATTACAATATAATATAATATATAATTTTCTTTTCATTTTGGGGTGAATCATGACCTAGACATGTTCTCCATAAGATTCTGTCTGGTCAGTGTACCTGGACAACCAGTAAAAGACTAATAAGATCATTGTCTGTCTCTGCTGACTGAGCTGAGTTTGAGGTTGTGTGTTTCCGTTGGGGATCTTCTTAAGGATTAACCCCGACTGCGCTGGTTCACATTGCCTATTCACATGGCCACCTGCCAATGGACGTCTGTAATTCATTGAGAAAAACTGCTGTGCCCTTTTTCTCTCTCTCTCTGATAGGGATTACTTTTACCCCGTAAATAGCATGATGAAACCGAAACATAATCAAAATATACAAAACTTTGAATCCTAGCCTAATGCACAACTGCGTAAATACATCTATTTTGTGGCAATTCCCATGAAACGTCAGACTTGCGCAGAAACATTTACTTCTTGGAGGATTTATGTGTCTGTGTGTGTACGAGAAAGTGAGACTTATCTGCGTCTGACCCGGTTAACGTCTCGCTGCCGGCGGCGTGGAATGTGCATGCGCATTTAAGTGTAGTAAATGTTTAGCTTAGAAAGTGCATCTGTGCGCACATGACCTGGCTCATAGCTGGCTGTCTGATTGGCTGGCGGGGAGGGTCGGTAAAAGGCTGCCCATTGCACGTGACCCAGAAATCATGTTAAGTGAGGGAAATTGAAAGAAAAATTTCGGTTTGTCTTGAAAACCCCCTAAAATATTGGCTTGTTGCGATTCTGTGTATACACATTTTTCAGCAAAATGTGACCATGTATTTTATTTTCTCTTTTATTTTAGCACGTGGAGGCCCCCACCTGGCAAACCCCCCAACAGTGATAGTGATGGTAGGGCTTCCTGCTCGGGGCAAAACCTACATATCAAGGAAACTCACACGCTACCTCAACTGGATTGGTATTCCCACAAAAGGTAGAAAAAAATCAAGCAATGTTAAATAAATAAATATGTTTGTATTATATATTATTATTATTATACACATTTTGCAGGAATTCTTAATTGCTGAATATGTGTATTTCTAGTCTTTAACGTTGGCGAGTATCGTCGAGAGGCAGTGAAACACTACAGCGCTTACGATTTCTTCAAATCGGACAATGAGGATGCCGTTAAAATCCGACAGTGAGTTCTGTGCCTGAACTACACAATTCCAATAAGATGGAAATTAATTCTTCTTCAACTCTTTTATGTAGCTATATGAAGTAATTAATCATTTGTTTTGTCTCCAGGCAGTGTGCCTTGGCCGCTCTGAGAGATGTCAAGAGTTACCTCACTGAAGAGGAAGGTCAAGTGGCTGTGAGTACTGTATCTTTTAGTGCTGTCAAACGATTAATCGCATCCAAAATAAAAGTTGTTGTTTACATAATATATGTGTGTGTACTGTGTATATTTATTATGTATATATAAATACACACACATGAATGTATATATTTAATAAAAAATAAAAATGCTTACATATTAAATATATTTATATATAATATAAATTATATGATTATACATGTAAATACATTAAATATTTTCTAAATATATTTGTATATATATATATATGTGTGTGTGTGCATGTGTGTATTTATATATCCATAATAAATTTCAAATTTTGGATGTGATTAATCGCCATTAATCGCGATTATTCGCTTGACAGCACTACTGTAGATGTATAAACAGCTTGCAGAACGTATAAAAAAAAGAGCAGATCCTCACCGCTGTATCTTTCCACAGGTTTTTGATGCAACAAACACAACCAGAGAGCGGCGAGATATGATCCTGGAGTTTGGTGCAGAAAATGGCTTCGAGGTCAGTCATAATATCTTGAAAATTGCTTTTCTGATGACAATTACAAGGACGAAGACCACTAATACAAATGTACTTTTGCAGATTTTCTTCATTGAGTCTGTTTGTGACGACCCAAATGTAATCGCCTGTAATATCTTGGTAAGTTGCATGATTAAGAGTTTCAAACAACATAATTTAACTTTATATGTATCACTTAATTATATACATTTTTGTATAATGACTGCTAAATTACTGACGATAAAGTGTGCAACACCACTAAACACTGCATTCATACTTAAACAGGAAGTTAAGGTGTCATGTCCTGACTATCAAGATTGCAACAAGACGGATGCCATGGATGACTTTAAGAAAAGAATTGAATGTTACAGAATGAGCTATCAGCCACTTGACCCTGACCAATATGACAAGTATGTTAGCAATACACACACACACATTTTCTTTGTCAATGCCTTGTCTTTAATATCACAAGATTAACCACTTGTTTGTCCTCGCAGAAATTTGTCCTTCATCAAAGTGATTGACGTGGGTCGTAGATTCCTGGTGAACCGCATTCAAGACCACATCCAGAGTCGGATCGTCTACTACCTGATGAACATCCATGTGCAGCCACGGTCTATTTATTTGTGTCGCCATGGTGAGAGCCAACACAACATGCAGGGCCGACTGGGCGGAGACTCTGGACTGTCTACACGTGGACGAAAGGTACTATGCTCATAAATCTTGGAAAAGAATGAAAAAAATGCAGGAGGTTCGACTTGTGAGGTTGGGTGATTATTTTAAGTAATCTTAAAATGACTTACACCTTTCATAAACAAGCATGTTTTTGCCAGTTAGCTCAATGATGGTATTTGTAAAGTCTGAAACAGTGTCCTAGCCAAGAGTACTAAATTACCCATCTGTCCAAACTCTCCAGAGTAACAAACCGTCCCACTCTGTAGTTCGCAGGAGCTCTTGCTGAATTTGTGGAAGAGCAGAACTTGAAAGACTTGAAGGTTTGGACAAGCCAGATGCGCCGTAGTATCCAAACCGCCGAGGCCCTCAACGTGCCGTATGAACAGTGGAAAGCCCTGAATGAGATTGATGCTGTAAGTTCTCTAGCATGCATCTCTGGTTTGGTGTTTCCGCAAAGGTACTCCATTTCATTCTCCTTAAAATGTCCGTATGTTGTCTACAGGGTCTGTGTGAGGAGATGACTTATGAAGACGTGAGGGAGAGGTTTCCAGAAGAGTTTGCTCTCAGAGATCAAGATAAATACTACTACCGCTACCCCTCCGGAGAGGTACAAACAGATGAAATGCCCCTGTTTTACTATGGCAAAGTATAAGAAAGTGTCCTTAATAAAATGCTTCTGTCTTTCTCCAGTCATATCAGGATTTGGTTCAACGGGTGGAACCTGTGATCATGGAACTGGAGCGAAAGGAAAATGTTCTTGTCATTTGTCATCAGGCTGTGATGCGCTGCCTATTAGCCTACTTCTTGGACAAAAGTGCAGGTGAGATTCTTAAATAAAACTTTGTCGTCATTTACTCACCTTCGTGTCATTTCAAACTCATATGCGTTTTTTTCTTTTATGGAAAACAATAGAGGTTTAGCAGAATGTCCCATATGCTCTTTTCCACACAAACTGAAGATAAAGTTCCACTTGAGCTCCAAAAATGAGCTTCTGAAGTCATTGAAACTTCCTTGTGTACCCTTGTGACAAAGAAGTACACTTTAGCATACTTTTAAAAGAGTAGGTAACACTTTAGATTAGGGAACACTATTAACTAGTTGCTTATTAGCATGCATATTATTAGGTTATTGGCTGTTTGTTAGTACTTATAAAGCAAATATTAATTCATGACCATATTCTAGATCTCTTAACCCTACCAAATACCTAAACATACTGTAACGACTACTAAAACTACCTTACCTAGTACTAATAAGAAGCAAAATTAGGAGTTTGTTGAGGGAAAACTCTTTGTTAATAGTATGTGTTTGCTAATCTAAAGTGTTACCAAAGCATACTTGAAATAATATGCTTTAAAAAGAAATACTTTTATATTTCTAGTACATATATTACCTTCAAGTGTAGTTCTACTTGATGAAGTTTATTTTAGAGTTTTGACAACACCACTTTCATAGTATGGAAAAGAGCAGCATGAGCATTCATCAAAATGTCTCTTTTTGTGTTCCATAGAAGAAAAACACAGCCATACAGGTTTGGAATGGCATGACCCCTAATCTCCATCTGCACACTTTTCCATACTAACCTTTAATTTCCTGTCGGCAGATGAAATGCCGTACCTGAAGTGTCCACTTCACACAATACTGAAGCTGACCCCAGTGGCTTATGGTAAGATTATTACCTCTGATCATATTTGATCCAATCTGAATAATAATGATAAGCATGACACAAACTAATTGTGTGTGTGTTTTTAAAGGGTGCAAAGTTGAATCCATCTCTCTGAATGTGGATGCGGTGAACACACATAGAGACAGACCAGAGGTAAGCACAAACATATACAATACACACAAACACTTTTTTACTATTTCAGGTTCTAATCTCTTGTTCTGTCTTCACTCTCTAGGAGGTGAAGAGAGGCCCGAGCACTTTGATCAGGAGAAACAGCGTGACCCCTCTCACCAGCCCTGAACCCAATAAGAAGTCCCGCATGGAGGGTCTGGATGATCCGATCATCAGAGAGGTGACGCCCGTCCAACTGACCCTGTGTTCAGTGTCACACACCACCCTCGCTCTGTCCACACAGGTGAGCCACAGTTACTGTCCTTATATCTTCACTTCATAAACCTGTAGTGACATACTAATCATTTCATACTTTACCCTTTTACATTCTCTTCCTGTTTCTCTCTGTTTCCTTCTATTTATTCTTCCTCATTCCACTTCATGTACTACAGCACTGGCTTAGTGAAGCTTGTCTGTAAGTATTTCCTCCTTCTGTTTCTTCCTTATCTTTTTCAAACGATTATACTTCCTCAAACTTTCCCAACTTAAAATGGGCCATACAGTGAATTTGACTTAAAGTCCCCATGAAATCAAAATTAAAAGTATCAATATGTTAGTCTTAAGGTTATCTATAAGGCAGTGTGCTCCAAAACAGTGACAAAATTCACATTTAGAAGATATAAGCATTCAAAGCTTGCAGTTCGTCACTTCCGCCAAAACGGCTCAACGATTTTTTTTGACGTCACATCGTACTTCAGCTTCTCATCAAACTTTCTGTCCAATCAGATGCTCTCTAGAATCCGAAGCGCCCGCCCCCTACACTATAAAATAGACGCTGAAGCCGTGGCTGAAATCGGTCACTTGTCCACAGAATTAGTATTTTCTGTACAGTGAATGGCACGTAGTGCACTATATAGGGGACAGGGAACGATTCAAACAGTGTAAATATGCTTTCCATTGAGGAAAAAAAGAAGTCTGGTTTCGCGCTGTGTCACGCTAACCACCGCACACACACTCCGGTCCAGAGACACGATAGCACGGAGCGGATCACATGCGCGAGTCGGCGCAGACCACAAAATGTATCGGAGCTTTTTGAATTCTACACAGAATGTTATATTTTATAGCAATATGGATGAGATTGTGGCTGGCATACCCTGTCAAATGCGGCTTTACGGAGCTCAACGGCTCTGAACGGCTCTAGCCCAAGCTGTGATATAAACGAACACTATTGGCTATTTTAAAAAGGGGCGGGGCTGCTTGATATGTCCCGACCTGTCTTCCTGTTTCAGTTTAAATTATCGACTTTTAATGCAACAAGAAAATGTTTCTCATATCTTTTGGTTGTTGGCATCCAATCAAACTCTTGGTCTGTCACTTGGTGATTTATTAAATCTAACCAATCAGATGTCCTCATAATTAAGATAAGCTCAGTATCTAAAGTTTAGCCAATCATGACAACCTTATTTGCATATAGAAGTCTTAAAGGTACAGCAGCAATCTTGTTTGTTTTAGAGGAAGGGTAGAAAATGGTAACGTAAAACAAAATTACAACTGATTATGAAGTTTAAATGTTAGAATTAGGGCTGGGCAAAAAAATCGAATGCGATTTTCATGCTCATCTCGTCGGTAAAGCCGGTTCTGTGATTAGTAGTAAATCTCCAGCACGTGCGTTCAGATGGAGCGGCATTTACTACACAGGCGATTCATAGCCGGTTTTGAACACGATTTTGCGTAGCTTGTCAGTGATCTACGGCTCTGTGTAGTAAATGCCGCTCCATCTGAACGCACGTGCTGGAGATTTACTACTAATCACAGAACCGGCTTTACTGACGAGATGAGCATGAAAATCGCATTCGATTTTTTTGCCCAGCCCTAGTTAGAATTTTACAAAATGGCCCCTTTAAAGGTGGTATTAATGAAGATATAATCAAGTACTGTAGTCACACTACCTTTTATGTTTATATCTTAATTCATATCTAATGTGGTAGAGTAGCTAAATAGTATTGCAAATTTATTTAAATAGTAAATAGTATTTGCAGACTGCAAATCTATACTGATTTTAGGATCAAATCAAGCGATTAATGAAGATATAATCAAGTACTGTAGTCACACTACCTTTTATGTTTATATCTTAATTCATATCCGGATACCCACTTTCTCGTTTGTTCTGAAAATGATTACTGTCTGTCTCTCGCTCATCTTTTGCATGCTTAAAGGCGCACTTTTTTACATTATCTACAAGTGCTCTTTCAGAGGTAATAGTCATAGAAACTAATGTGGTAGAGTAGCTAAATAGTATTGCAAATTTATTTAAATAGTAAATAGTATTTGCAGACTGCAAATCTATACTGATTTTAGGATCAAATCAAGCAAATCCTGCAGATTGGATTTAAATCTTGTAAAATGTGTTAAATGCATCTGTTGCTCAAAAAATCTGGAAATATTCCCGTTTTGAGTGCAGATTCCATACAGACTGGCCAAAAACAATAACAACACAGTAGGTCGACTGTTCAGTAATTAACCAAACGATCTACATTCTTTTTTCACAGAACCTGAAGAAATGCTCCATAGAGTGCCATGAACCCCCTCAGCTCTGCCTGTGAGATTTTAAGGCTGTATTGCTTTACTCAGCGCGGAAGAGTTTCCTGCCAAGCTGCTTCCTCTTTTCCTCCCAGAGAGGTGTGTGTGTGTCCATCTTTCAACAAATGGACACTAGAGTGCAACCTGGGTTTTTCTATTTATCCTTCATGAATTCGTAATTAATGTACGTATCGTGTGGTTTGTCCTAGTAAGGAGTTTAGTGATTTCTGTGTGTGTTTTTGCGTATGAAGGGAAATCAGAGCCCAGTGGCGGGGATTAAACAATGTTGTCAACCACCCCCACATTTTTGGACACTATTCCCTGTTTACGTAATACAGGATACCACTTGTAGATGATTTTATTCTGGTCTCGGCCAGTTTTTTTAACACTGACGGTAAGAATATGCCCTGAACTTTGAAGGACGATGCTAAAACAGACCAAAGATCACCCGCAGACGCTTACGGGCTGATTCGTGGCTTTTCTGCACTCACTTTCAAACATATATACTACAAATAAATTGCACATTATAATTGCACATTTAGACAATTTGCATTTATTTGTCTGAAATTCTGAGGGCGATAATGAATCTTACCATTTGTAATGCTGCTCACAGTTTTGAAAGCTGTTTAAAAGTTCTCATGGTGTCCACTGCAGTTTCAGATGATTTGTGTTATGGATATGGATTTGTTTTTTTGTGTGTTTTTAAGACCTGATGACAAGGTCGATGCGCAAGGTTATAAAAACAGGCTGCTTTATGTGTGTTTGGATGGGACAAAGTGAAGCAGTGTTTGTATTTGTTGTTTATATTTAATGTATTTTATGGTGTGACGGATATCAGATACATTTTTATACTGTTCATTTATTAATTCCCTAGAGTGCCTAGTGCTTGAGCTATCAGGCCTGAGCTGCTTTTTTACATTCTAATATGAGAATTATATTAAACAACATTTGGATTTTATTGTACTTTTATAATTTCAGTTTCAGCTTTGTCAAAGCCTGATTAAGAGATTAAAATAGTGTTTGATATTGTATGTTCAGATTTACCCTTGTAAACCAAATGTTTACCATTTGAATTTGTAAGAGATTTTACAGGAATGGAGTAAAATTGTAACACTTTCGAATCTAAGTACCAGCTTTAATTGTAAATATATAGTTCTGAGAAGACATCTAGTTGCTTTGAACAGCCATTTTTGGCTCCATTTTTAGTGTAAAACATTCTGTTTATCACACGACTAGGTGCAAAGTTGTATATTCTGGCTCTTAACGGTAATTCATCTGATCGCTTATGATACTTTAACCTCATTTTGTAATATCTTTCCTTTTTTTGTAAAAATAATATTTATTTATTTGTACTAGGCATTGTGTAAGCACTTTGTTCATTACCGAGATCATACAGCATATCAACATGTCTCTTTCTGAAGACAGTGAATCATTTATATGCATTTACTGAATCAATAAACAGTCTAAAAGAGGATTTGTGGGTGTTTATTTGTTTTCACAGAACTGCATTTCCTTTTCTTGCAATTTTTCCATAAATGGCCAAACACAGGGCGACAGTTTCCCATCCCACTGAGCATCCTGCAGCTTTCAGTCAGTTTGCTGTTTTTATTTAGTCATCCGCCTCGTTTCTAATGGGCACTATCTGTGTTTTATGGCCCTCTGTACTCTTTGCTTTGCTCAGCTGTTAGAACAGATATGAACTCAATGGAAACTTGTTGTTTAACCAGTCAAACCTTTCATTTACCATTCAAATTATTGTGAAATGATGCCATTTACATGAAATACTAGTCACATGGCATCTGGCACATGCCCACAGTTCGCTGCAACAGGAGTGCAATATTAGAATAAACTTGAAAACATGGAATGTGTATAAACAGTATAATAACCATTGGTTGCAGGACCAGCACAGACAGTAGTTACATTTTCATAAACAACAATAAAACATGGTAGCATTGCATGGACAGAATATGTATTTGGATCATTCTCGGGAAGAATTTTTAAGTTTATTTTTAAATCTTTGTATATGTTTAATACTTGATTTATGTGTGTTTGTTTTATCCATTGTAAAAAATATAAATTTGACTGAAAAAATGAAAATATGCTTTCATTGCCTACAAAAAAAAAATCCAATTTCAAAAAATAAAATAAAATAAATGATTTGCTAATGCACTTTCAGCCCTGTTATGCAATTTTCCTCCTTTTAAATAAATGTTTTCATAAACAAACTAAAGAAAAAATGAAATGTGATAGCTTTGTGATGTGTGTGTGTGTGTTTGTTTGACTGTTTATTTGTTCTTATATTTTAATAATAGTAATTATTGAATGCTTTAATTAATTAACTAAACAGTGTGTAAAATATTTTTCTACTATTGCATGTTCATAGAAACCATAAAAACGTTTCTGCACTTTAATTTCAACTCTGTCATGTTTTTCCTCCTTTTAAATAAACGGTTTAATTTCATGCATCGTAATTATGGGAACAACTCTTATTGCTGATCGCAAGGTTCAAATAGAGGTGGGAGCTACAGTTCTGTCTATTTCAGGAAATGTCAGTAATAATCATCTTCAAGCTTCTATTCTTTTATACAGAATTTTTGTGGCTGCATCTTCCTACTTCCTAAATGTCTATGCTGGCAATAACAGGAATGCTATTGAAACTAGAATATATAATTTTCAAATATGATTTCTCAATCAGCACTAACCTTTTCAAATGAAATGATCTAAAATCCTAAAATAACACCCAAAATATACTTAATTATACCCTTTGATTTAGAATGACCATGTAGGCTAGTAAATGACAGTGTAGACATGTGACTATTAACAGCGAGCTCTAATGGTTAGCCTATTTATAGCTCAATGTTGAGTGTGAGCTTCAGGCTAAAGGGATGCAGAACACACATCGGCCAACTGCAATCAGATCAGTGTGAAGTCAATCAAGTCATCAATGTTCCAGCTTATCACATGAGACGAACCCAACGCCCCCAGTTATTCATGTGCAGACGGATACAGTCGGCTTATCCTGCACGGTATGGAAATGTCCCACCAGCTGTTTATTGGTTTTATTGTGGAAACTTTGGGTTTTCAACTGTCCTGCAGAGTCTGGGATGCTTGCTTTCAAGTCCTCCTGCGAAGTTTGTATTTACGAGCTGGGAAGTCATAAAAGTCTGGTGCATCCAAGAGTAATAAGCACGTTGGTCGGAGAAAATTTAATTCTGCAAGGTTTTTTTGAATCTGTTTCTAAAACACCATGAAGAAAGCGATGAAAAATGATACATATGTAGGCATATGTATTTTCCCACTCGTAATTACAACTTTGTGGTGCCGTTCATGTACATTCAACTCATAAATACAATCAATGAATCATGACTTGAACGCAGCATTAGCTCCAACCCTAATTAAACACACATGAACCAGTTAATCAAGGTCATTAGAAACGTCCATGCAAGCGTGTTGGAACTGGTTGACGTGTTGGCCCTCCAGTAGCAGGACGACATCCTGGCCTTTGCGCGTCGGTTGCAGGTGGTATCGGAAATCAATATTTGTCACCTAATAGGCCTATTGTGCTTTTCCACAAAGAAAACCAATATCTTAGATTTGTTTTATATTTGGGATTTTTTCCTCCTGCGAAGTTTGTATTTACGAGCTGGGAAGTCATAAAAGTCTGGTGCATCCAAGAGTAATAAGCGCGTTGGTCGGAGAAAATTTAATTCTGCAAGGTTTTTTTGAATCTGTTTCTAAAACACCATGAAGAAAGCGATGAAAAATGATACATATGTAGGCATATGTATTTTCCCACTCGTAATTACAACTTTGTGGTACCGTTCATGTACATTGAACTCATAAATACAATCAATGAATCATGACTTGAACGCAGCATTAACTCCAACCCTAATTAAACACACATGAACCAGTTAATCAAGGTCATTAGAAACGTCCATGCAAGCGTGTTGGAACTGGTTAACGTGTTGGCCCTCCAGTAGCAGGACGACATCCTGGCCTTTGCGCGTCGGTTGCAGGTGGTATCGGAAATCAATATTTGTCACCTAATAGGCCTATTGTGCTTTTCCACAAAGAAAACCAATATCTTAGATTTGTTTTATATTTGGGATTTTTTATTTTTTTTTTAGAATGCTAGCTAATTGTAGGCTACTCAGGCTAGTCTATATGATGTTGTCAAATGTGCTTGTATGCTTTGTATGTCTGAGAAAGGTTGACGGAATTGACGGAAATTCTGATCAATATTATTGTGACAATGCAAACTTGAGTAGTCTGAGGGAATTCTATTTTCTAGTTTATATTGTAATTTTATCCAGTGCACATACGACTGACTTCCCTGTTGAAAAAATCGGCATATGCTGGTTAGGTATGTTTTGAAGCTGGGATGCTGGTTCAAGCTGGTTTAAGCTGGTCCTTTGCTGGTTTATGCTGGTCCTTAGCTGGTCATGTGCTGGTCTTAAGCTGATGTGCTGGTCTTAAACTGGTCGGACCAGCTTAGGATCAGCATAAACCAGTTTAAACCAGCTCAAATCAGCATCCCAGCTTCAATGGCTTCATATGCTGGTTTTTTCAACCGGGTCAGAGGTGCGAGGCACTATATATTTTGGTTTTGCAGGAAGAGAAAGCTTTAAGTGCACACATAGGCTATGCTGAAAGTCGTAGTTTCGAAAATGTGTAAGTTGGAAAGTTTGAGTTTCTTTCTTTTTGAAGTTTTGTTTTTCATGAATTGTGCATGACTCAGTTATTTTCTTGTACCGTTTTCTCACAACTGGAGACTGTGGCTGAAGGAAGTTGGATCAGGGTCATGATAATAATAATGAAACCACACAGCTTCCTGTATGCAGAGCTGACATAGATGAGCAATGGGCAAGAAACTTCACTCATTCTCTAAAAACAAAGACGACTCTGATTACTTTGCCAACTTTTGCTTGTTAAATCATTGGATAATTAATGCCCATTTATCCAGATCTGCTCTTCAAATTATGAAGTCAGACAGACATTATGAAGTTCCCATGAGGTGGTTGTTTTGGATATTTTGGTCTATTTTGGTCTATGGAAAACCATAACGTCACGTGTAAAATCCAGTTGGCCAGTGGTAGAGAGACCGAGAGGGAATGTAGCTAAAAGTATAGTTCATCCATCTATTATAAGGTGTACTGAACGCGTGTTGTCTAAACATCTCTTGAATGCTGGTAAAACCTAAAAAATCAAGTCTTCATGTTAAAAATAGCTTGATAAAGTCAACAAATGTCTTCTGTCATATGCAAAAATGCCACCTAGACAATGGTTCTACGATTAACTTAGGCTAACGATGCTTTTGGGAAACACAGCCCAGAACATTCTAGCAAAAGCACACCAAAATGCTACAAACAAATCAGAACACCTTAGCATGTAGCAATTCCATAACAACACCCTTCACATGGAACTGGGAAAATGTAGTTGGTGTTAAAAAGTTGGCCAGTAGTTGATGTCGCTTTGTAAAGAAACATTACGCGCCTCCTCTCATACACATTTCTATAGTGTGAACCCGTAAAATGCATGTGCATGATGTCACTGTTTTCACAAATTTGTATTTTCGTAGTTAACATAAAGACTATAATGGTATAGTTTTCAAAAACTCGCACTTGAACTAACGGCTAAAAATTAAATTTTTAGTTGAAAACGGTGTTGTGTAAATGCCCTCTACAGCATTTTGGGGTGAAAAACGTAGTTCTATCATGACAACT